TCATGATAATAATAGTAATGATTAAAAACTATGTAAATAATAGACAGAGAAAGGAAGATAATTTTGGGGGGGGGATCAGGAAAAAAATGCATACAGGAAAAAAAAAGAAAGGAAAAAAGAGAGAAAAACAAAAAGAGAGGAATTCAGGCAGAGGGAAAATATTCTATTGGGAACGCAAATGAACAGAAGATAAATAAAATATTGAAAAAAGGGGAAACAAAAGATAGGATTGAAAGAATTCCATTCAGAGAGAACATTGCGTTTGGTGGTCTAGAGGTAAGGGAAGATAACATGTAGGGCTTCATACCTATCTGTTGATTATGGGTCTATATATATTCTCTCTCTCTTTCTTTCTTTCTTTCCCTCTCTCTCTGTCTGTCTGTCTGTTTGTCTGTCTCTCTCTGTCTGTCTCTCTCTGTCTGTCTGTCTCTCTCTCTCTCTCTCTCTGTCTCTCTCTCTCTCTCTCTCTCTCTCTCTCTCTCTCTCTCTCTCTCTCTCTGTCTGTTTGTCTGTCTGTCTGTCTGTCTCTCTCTCTCTCTCTCTCTCTCTCTCTCTCTCTCTCTCTCTCTCTCTCTCTCTCTCTCTCTCTCTCTCTCTCTCTCTCTCTCTCCTCTCTCCTCTCTCTCTCTCTCTCTCTCTCTCTGTCTCTGTCTCTCTGTCTCTCTCTCTCTCTCTCTCTCTCTCTCTCTCTCTCTCTCTCTCTTCCTCTCCTCTCTCTCTCTCTCTCTCTCTCTCCTCTCTCTCTCTCTCCTCGTCTGTCTCTCTCTCTCCTCTCCTCTCTCTTCTTCTCTCTCTCTCTCTCTCTTCTCTCTTCTCTCTCTCTCTCTCTTCTGTCTGTCTGCTCTGTCTCTTCTCTCTGTCTCTCTGTCTCTCTCTCTCTCTCTCTCTCTCTCTCTTCTCTCTCTCTCTCTCTCTCTCTCTCTCTCTCTCTCTCTCTCTCTCTCTCTCTCTCTCTCTCTCTCTCTCTCTCTGTCCTTTCCTCTCATAATGTCTTAAGCCGGTTTGATATGTTTCATGCGTTATATACCAAGTAATCCATTCAACTATATACAGAAGTGCGTATATGCATGTGTGAGTGTGTGTGTTTATGTAGAAAATTCGGCATTGGAGTAGGTTGGTAAGTAGATCAGTGTGTAGATAAGATAAGGATAAAAGTAAACTCAGATCTAGCCATTCTTAATATTTCTTTCTTCTTTCTCCCCCTCTCTCCCCGCGCAGGAAAATCTAATAAAGATGGGAACGCCGTCAATGGAAGGAGACAAGAAGCTGCCGAGAATGGAGAAGCTGACGGAGAAGACGACGCGGATGCTGCTCACCGTCCTGCTGCTGTTCCTGCTGACGGAGCTGCCGCAGGGGGTCCTCGTGCTCCTCTCCGGCATCTACGGGCAGACCTTCTTCAGGTAAGGCGAGAGGGAAGGAGGGAGTGAGGGAGGGAGGGGGAGTGAGTGAGTTAAAGAGGGGAGGGTGGGAAAGAGGAGGTGAGAGGTGGGGAGGGGAGAAGGGGGGGTGAGGAAGGGGAGGGGGAGATAGGGGGAGGTGAGAGGGGGAGGTGAGAAAGGGGGAGGGGAGAGAGGGAAGGTGAGGAACGAGAGGTGAGAGGGTTGGGGGAGAAAGGGGAGGTGAGAAAGGAGAGGTGAGAGAGGGGGAGAAAGGGGTGGTGGGAGAGGGGAGGGGAGGGGGAGTGGGAGGGGAAGGTGAGAGGGGTGGTGAGAGGGGAGGTGAGGAAGGAGAGGTGGAGGGGGAGGGGGGGAGAGAGGGAGGTGAGAGGGGAGGGGAGAAAGGGGAGGTGGGAGGGGGAGGTGAGGAAGGAGAGGGAGGGAGAAAAGGGAGGTGAGAGAGGGAAGTTGAGAGGGGCAGGTGAGAAACATGAGGTGAGAAGGAAGCAGAGAATGAATACAACCATTTTTCTAGCACAGTCCCCTCCGATCAGCCTCCCTCCGCGCAGTGACGACAGGCCGTAACCCCGCCCTCCTCTCCCGCCCGCAGGAAGTGCTACCTCCACTGGGGCGAGGTGATGGACCTCCTGGCCCTCATGAACGCGGCCGTCAACTTCCTGCTGTACTACGTGATGTCGCACCAGTTCCGCGTGACCTACCGCTCCCTCTTCAGCCCGCCGGTGCCCGTCAACCTCTCCCCCAGACTCCCCCGGGACACCGTGTCGACGCAGCTCTAGGGAACGCCCTCCTTCGCCCCTCGCTCGACGGCGGCGGCGGAGAGGGCGTGGCGGCGGGGGTCGAGCTGTTGCCGCTGCTCGGGAGTGAGCGACGGGGACAGCGACGACACCGACGACCGCCTGGAGTTGAGGGTGATTAGGCCTTCGTCGGAGAAGATCGTCTGATGGAGGGCCGACGCAGGAGGGCTTCGCTCTGACGCTTATTGTGCCCGCGAAGGAGCCACTCGACTTGTTTCCCTCTTGAGCTGGTTTTCTTCCCGTTCTCAGTTGGTCTTCCTGTTCCTTCTTCACTCTCCCTTCATCCCTCCCTCCTCCTTCCCCTTCCCG